TGACACCTGCCCACGTTTCCTCTTGAGTATTCTTCATGCAGGGAAGGCCGATCTCCAGAGACAAGGTCAGTCCCATATCCTTCCTAAAATTACACCTTCCCACCTTCCCTCTAAATTAAAGATAAGGGGTCAAGAGGGAGAAGGATAATGCGTGATGAATTCCCAGCATGTGACAGATGTGTTTGTCTAAGCTGATGTGAAGATATGAACCTCCAAGTCTGTGTTAGAGTCCTTATCTGAATATCTCTCCTGTTCTCTGCATTAAAACCAGAGGCCTGGCTGTCCACTGGCACCAATCCTGGTTCTGGCCGTCAGATGCTGGTTTGCCATGTCTCTGGCTTCCATCCAAAGCCAATTTGGGTAAAGTGGATGCGAAGTGAACAGGTACAACAGGGCACTCAACAAAGTGGATTCTTGCCTAATGCTGATGGGACATGGTACCTTCAGGTTTTCTTGGAGGTGGAAGCCACTGAGACATCTGGCCTATATTGCCGGGTGAGACATAGCAGCCTAGGAGGCCAGGACATCCTCCTCTACTTGGGTAAGAAACACTGGGGCCCACCCTGGGGTATGGGTAGATGGTCCACAAGGAGATCAGGAGAGCCAAGTAATAAAATTAGGATTTATGGACTCCAGACCCAAAAAAATGAAAATAACTAGTTCAATAAATAGAAGAATTGAAAATGAGAGACCTGCAGAAGTAGGAAGATGTTGAGGGTTAGATGAAAGATTCAACTCTGAAGAGGGAGGAGAGAGGAAATAAGAACAAAGAGTAGTGAGGCAAACCCCAAAAAAGACCAGGGAAATGCAATAAACAGGGGGTGGGTTTGAAATGACACCTTGTGTTCACCCAAACCCACAGAACATCGCCAAGGCTCCATGAGCTTGATCATCTTGGCAGTGATGGTGCCCCTGGTGCTTCTGACATGCCTTGCATTTTGGCTTAGGAAGCGCTGGTGAGTTTTTTGTGCCCATCTTTCCTGTTCATTCATCCACTCCCTACTTGTCTTGCCAGCTTTCTTGTCTCTCTCTCTCCTCTTAGCCCTTTCCTCAGTCCGTTTCCTTTTACTCTTCAATTCTCACCTCCACCTCATGCAGAGTAACTTTCATCTCTCTTCTTATTAGGTCACACTGTGAACCTCTTGCCATTCTACTTCCTTTGGAATGAGATTCCAGCAGCCCTGGGATTCCAGACATATTTAAACGCAGCATGGTGACAATGTTCGTCCAGCTCTCCATGTACAACTTTGGTTGTTTATGTTTTGTTATTTGTGTGTTTAACGATTAGTTATTCATATGAGCTAAAGGTAATTTTGCTTTCTAACCTGGTTCTGAGATTATAAAACTATTATTTTAACTCTGGATAAAATGAGATCCTAGCAACCGCTACGTATTGAAAAATTGATGAATCTCAGGCCCATTTCAGATGTCACTTCTTGGTGGGGGCCTTCCCTGATTCACAAATGGAAGCAGCATCTGAACTCTCACCACGCTTTTTAGTGGACTTTGTTGAATCTACTTCTCACTTTTTATCCGTTGTTGCAGTC